AACAGCGATTAACTCAGTGCATCGTGATATGCTGATAGGCGCCTGGGAGGAATTCTCTTATCGTTTTGATGCTGCCTGTGCTGCAGGTGGTGGCCACATTGAACACTTGTAAGACAGGAAATAAAAGTTATTGTGAGTAGAATACTTGTGACTTGGCTGGAGTTTTGTATTACTTTCCTTTAATAAAATATTTCGTAATAAAATCGGTTCATTCTTTTTGAATAACCCTGTATTGTGGCTACCGTGCTGTGTCATCGTATAGTTACGTACTGACGTTTCGGAGTACGCTATGCCTCTATCTTCATACCGAACTGCATGATAACACTGAACACTACAATAGGAATCTTACGCCAGGAAAACTTTACCTCTTATACACTTATTATCAGTAGGGTACACGAGGAGGTTACAGATAATGGTAAGATAATCTGTTAACTCTGTAAGGTGCAATGTTCGTGGAGCTGGTGATCACAGCCGAAGTTCTCCATTCTTCCGCTACACAAGAAACACGCTCCTCAGCACAGCTCTCACACACCCTGTCTGTTCCTCTCTTAGTATCAGACACAGTTTCACAACCATACAGAACCACGGGCAAGAATGTAGTTTTGTATATTCTGAACTGTGCCATATTTTCAAAGTATCTGTTACTTTATCATTGGGCTACTAAATACGCATATAAATAAATAATTAAATCGAATTCATATTAGGAATAATATTATTCTGTCAATATGATTATTATATTATTAATAAAATGATTTAAAATCATGAACCATCTTTGCTATTCGATCTCACCTCTTTTCACGAAATCCAGGACGGTACACTTGCCTATACCAGTGTTCGAACCGGTGACGATAGCTGTTTTGCCGTCCAGACGGGCCGTGCCCCTGTACTTTGAGCAACAAGGCATTGCGTCCTCTGGGTCTGAAACTCTATCTAGTCCTGCGTACAGAACAGCGTCGGTAGAAGTATGTGTAAGTTGATAGCGCTACGCTCTATTCGTGGCGCCGTAGGCCCCTCACAGAGCACAGCATGAAGAAGTCCTAGTCAGACTCTTTACAATTGCGAATTTTCACTTTACCAAGCTGAAAAGAAAGCAAGGACGATATCAAGTGAACGAAACTTATCTTCAACATCTTCAGAGGGATAACATATGTTAAAATAAACTTTATACTTTTGTCTAAATGAAAGATTCAAAATGTCAAAGTCATTAAATTTTTTACAAAAAGCTAAAACTAATATTATATCAAAGTTTGTTGATGTGTACCTTTACCAAATGCAACTTCCAAAACTGGTGCGTCGTGCTACACGGCGTCCCGCCGCCTCAGTACGCAGATGTAAGGGCTCGACATGTGATTCTTGAGAGATGAATGGCCGGGGACAGTTCGGGAACCCAGAGGAAGGTGAACGTACGCCGTTGGAAGCCGCTACCAAGCAACGGCTATGGAAGACTTTGTGCTGCGGTTATAGTGATTTTGGAGTGTGTAATTCAGGGATACTGTTATAGTTACTTGTGTGGTCAACAAAGCCNAAGCCGCTACCAAGCAACGGCTATGGAAGACTTTGTGCTGCGGTTACAGTGATGTTTGCAGTGTGTAATTCAGGGATACTGTTATAGTTACTTGTAGTTACGATCCGTAAGTAATTACCAATCCAAACTCCGTTTAAAGTCACTCCGACAAGTAACGATGTTTCCAATTAAAAAAGTAAAGCTATGCCTGTACCAGGCCGTGGAGGCCCATAGGGTTGTGAGACGTTGAGGGTCCCACATTTTCTAGACAATCGGCTCAAAGATGGCGGTAAGGTTGTCAGCCTTACGCGCCGGCCGCGCTTTATTCCCTAGGAAAATTTAATTAATTCCTGGTACTCATTTCTATTAGAGGCCGAGTCAACCCCAGGGCCACAGTGCGGCTGGAAGGTTTAGATCCATTGAAAAAAATTAAATGACCTCACCGGGATTTGAACCCGCGACCTTCAAGCTTGTAGCGTAGCCCCTCAACCACTACGCTACACCGTGCAGCTGTGTTAGCAGCAAGTGGTCATTCAGCGGCTGTTCCCCCACCGAGAGGCCACCTGGATTTAAGCCAAGTGCGAGGCTACATGTCTCACTCTGTATTTACACTAGCTGATGGCCGTGCCATAGCTCGGGCGGTTAGTCGTAGGGTTCCCACCGCGGTGGCTCGCTTTCGAGCCCAGGTCTGGTCATGTGGGATTTGTGGCGAACAAAGTGATACTACGGCAGGTTTTCTCAGAGTACTTCGATTTCCCCTGCCAATTCTCATTCCACAGACTGCTCCACACGCATTATCTATCATCCGGGGCTGGTACAATAGGCCAGTTAGTGGCCGACGTAGCAAGTGTATGTGGTTGCGAGCACTGACACACGTCGGAACGCATTAAGGAGCCCGAAGGCCTTGGTCCCTGGACTGGGCTCTTCTAGTAATCGGATGTGGGGCTAATTCTGCCCTTAAATTATGTCAATAATATCTGGAAACTGCAGTATTTATGCTTGTTAAACACAATTCATATTACAGTGAAGTTTGCCGTCATGCCGCCCATGTGTCAGCGGTGTTCATTAATATCCGAAACTGCTCATTTGCCATTCTTCTTAGTCCTAAATATTTTGCTGGAAATCGATCTACTTGATGTGTAAAGAGATGTTTCTGGGCATTCTTCAAATAAAGTCCTCACTGCTCGTGCAGTGAAATTACTGTAACCGCTTACCTGGCCCTGCTGATGGCAGATACCTCCTCCTCTTCTCTTAGGTTACCAAGGGGAGTTTGAATCTGGGATAAAGCGCTCAGTTTGGGCGTCAGGATCTCCCTCCTCTAGATCCTGTACCCACGACTAAGAATTCGTGAGAAGATATATTCCCGTGTTCGAGGTTAACACGAGTGATCATGGTGGTTGGTTGCCAGGAGCAAGGTTCTGCTCTGAAGCATACAGGTTTGCGGTATGGTACAAAACGAACTGAAATTTGGGAGACAATGTAACACTAAACCCCAAAACGGGACAACATTCATCTAACTCACTAAGTGAGTGTGGGCATTTCTCATTCTCAGATGATTATCCTAACACCCATTTAAAATTACCTGCTACTTGTGTCCAAAATAATCTCATCTCATACAGATCTAAACCAAGATACTGACGGATTTCTTTTCTCCACGCACACCGCCATGTTTTAAAGGAATTTTCTCTATTACAAAGAGATGTAATATTCATATTAAACTGATAAGGGAATGGTCCGATCCGACATGTCGAAATCTGCCCTGATTTTTCTTTCACTGCAAGAGTACACACAACAAAATCCACTGTCAAAATTTTAGCTGCTAATACGCACTGCAAGTATTTTTTTAAAAATTGCCGAAGTTACTCATTTTTTTTTGTGTACGCGGAAGCGCTTGTACCAGAGGTTTGTACAGCCCCAGCTGTGTACTTGTCAGATTACGATGCATTTGTGCCGTGTTATCTGTCTACCGATGCACCGGAAGCTAGGCTGTGTCAGCCGTATTGCGTGTTGCGTACTGCTCTGCTAGGGGTGGACATTTCTCCAAGGGTCTGGCAGGCTACAATACTGACCATGTTCAGCAATTTTCAAAAAATACTTGCAGTGCGTATTATCAGCTAAAATTTTGACAGTGGATTTTGTTGTGTGTACTCTTGCAGTGAAATAAAAAATCAGGGCAGGTTTCGACATGTCGGATCGGAACATTCCCTTGTGAGTCCCGAATTCATCGAAAATTCATGAGGCAGCAGAAAAAAAAGTATTTCTGAGGAATTAAAAGGACTATTGCTCTGGGAAGAAAGCCTTTGGGAGAGAAACAATAAACGTCTGTCAGTGGAATGTGATTTAATCTGATTACAAAAAAGTCACGTTTTCCAATAAAAATACAGATTTTAGTGTACCATACACTTTCCATAGAGAATATATCGAAATATACCTTTAAATTAATCTCTTCAATAACGTGGAATCCCATATTTTAACAACTGTAGTTACTGCCATTGCATTTCCACACAATAATCTCACATACAAAGTGGACCAAATGTCAGTTAACTGGTTAGTATAATGTACACTAAAATACGTTTGAAATTTATTACTTTCTGACAACTCTTCGATATGAAATCCTCCATGTTCAGTTCAAGACTGACAACGCTGTGATACCGTTCTACAAATTGAGTGGCGAATTAAATTATGGAAATCCCAGTACATATGACAGAATATTTTAGGTTAAGAGACTTTTGTGCCACTCTGTAGTAACAATACAAACAAATTTTTATATACATATTTTGACAATTTACGACAGTCATTATGGATTACATAGTTTAGTGTGGTTTTATATAAAATTATACAAAATACCCTCCAAGTTGCCAAAAGGTTCACCCTTTGCAGACACGTTCTGGTACAGAAAATATGTCAGTTTTTACATTCTGCCTCCCTGAAACCTTAAACAAGAATTCAGCAACCCAGAATTGTCAGCACTACTCAACAAGTACAAAATCAGACACGTGCTGTACTGACCAGCTCACAGACAGCTGCCTGCATCATCACACAATACACTGCAGTGCCAGTTCCAGAAACGCACTAACCCAGTCTTAACATCAGACAGACCTCTCCACACCAGCTGGTCACATGTCAGTACTGTTGTGTACAGGTGCAATTATATTCATTATGGGATAATTAACGCTGAATTATATATGAACTGAAATATTGTAACTCGGACTTTCACCGATGTTATTCGCTCAGGTCACTAAAATTAGCTTGTTTCTCACATAAGAACGTGCATTGAAACATAGACAATTTTACTTTCAAAATGTTCCTCAAGCCATTTTAGGAAAACATCGGTAAAGGCCCGAGAAGGGAAGAAATACACAAGCATGATTGAATATTACAAAATATGGTATGTTTTGAAAGACCTTTGGAATAAGAAGACATGGAAAGCCAGTAGACACATCAAAGGAAGCCCTAACAACGAGTATAATAAATACGGCATCAACGGCACTTTCCAGTCGCTCTCTTGAGCCATGCTGTACTCAGCTGGCTCACGCGTGTTGCATCCTGCCATTCCTTAACCCCATCCCCACCGGCATTATGCTGATGTCTTCGCCGTTATTTCTACCTATCTTGACCATGTGACCTTCCCTCCTGTAACCGATCTGCCAAAACCCAGCTGGATTTAATTTAGTAGCATGTTTGATCCATGTTAATTAACATGTTCGGTTAGGTTTACTTGTAACCTGCAGCAAATGGATNCCTATCTTGACCATGTGACCTTCCCTCCTGTAACCGATCTGCCAAACCCAGCTGGATTTAATTTAGTAGCATGTTTGATCCATGTTAAGTAACATGTTCGGTTAGACCTGCAGCAAATGGACGAGAGGTACATAGGCTATTTCTTGTTCTCAGGGAGTTTTAGCCCAAATCTCGAATGCAAAAGACAAAAGAAATACGACTGGTCAACCCAGATACGAAATGAAAGAGGAAGACCCCCTGCAGCTTGGTTCTTTATNAGCCGACCTAGCTGCAAGCTCCACGGCCAACGACGGCAGTGGTGAGGACAAAGAAAGGAAGGTAAAAAGTAGCGACCAACCGGTGTGGCTTCAGGTTACACGAGGGGGACGGTAAGAAAGCTTAACATTTGTCAAGCGAGTGACAGGTTTTACGTTAAGTTTTAGCGCATAAAGTCCCTGTAATACCTAAACGGATTGGGGGAATACTTAATTAGTGTACTCCCATTTTTTTAAATTGACCAATCCTCGTAATTTAGTGAGTTGACCTGTGGACCGAGGCGACTCCGAGAGTGTCGAGGAGAAGGCATTCTAGGAGTGTTATTCAAGATCGCAAACTAAGCGGACGCAAATTCAATCTAGAGCGTTAGTGGCGTCCACTATGGACAACAGTTTAATAAATTGTCTTGTGGAACAAAGTGTGTGTTGTAACAGGAGTTCCCACTTCCCTTTCTGAGCGAGACCCTGCCAAACGGCCTGAGGACAGAAACTCAGCTCTACCGGCGGAACTAGCTACCCCCTTATCAATCCTTCACACCTTNTAAGTTATGGCATGCACAAACTGCCAGGTATTGAATTCACTAAGAATTCTTTAGCTATTCTTTAACGTAACTTTCCTCTAATAAACCTTTGACCGGTATCTTCCTGTTTCTGTTGTAAGCGTGGGAAGACGCTAACTCTTACATACAGGAATGGGCATATTTCTCACTACACTTGTTCATTGCATTTCATTTTGAGCAATTAAGATTTCAAATTCAAATTTCAAATACGTCTTCAGTAACCAGAAACACGTTACACGGAAGTGTGATAAGGAACAAGGGAAGGTAGATGTTATCTGTTTAAGTCTGGCATTTTCTTCAGTCAGTCGGGCTACCTGATTTCCCAGAGATTCTAAGAAGTTCTTCTCAAGCCGGCTAATTCGCGCCATCTCAGCTTTTCTAGACGGGCTTTTTGATCGCTTCCTTTTGTGTTCCAAGCTTCGTAGGTCAAGCTTACCTTCCTTGAACAGTGGGGGGTCTGTGTGAGTTGGAGGCACTTTTGACTCTGTCCGTTATGAAGAGGCGGCCTGTTGTACCGCAGACATGTGCCGCCGATGATGTCCGCTGCGTCAGTTTCCCTGCCGGCGGTAGGAGCAGGGCGGAGTACAGTTTTGTGCCAGAGGGCCGAAGCGGCGGTGGTACCAGCAGATACTGGCTGTGGCGTCGCCCCGGGAGGGGGATCTGCTGCCGGGCCGTCGGATGTTGAAGGCGGGGCGGGAACCCTTGGGACTGGAGCCTCTGTCTCTTGGTTTGGTGTCGAGATTTTTGACGCCGGCGTGGAGGCGGTCTTGTTCGGTCCTCAATGCTGCCACTTGGCGGGAGAGATCAGCGATCTCCTGCCGAAGTGCGCCGAGGTCGAAGTCCGGCCAGCGCTCGCTAGCGTTGATGGACCCACGGACATCGGCGCACTTCGGCAGGAGATCGCTGATCTCTCCCGCCAAGTGGCAGCATTGAGGACCGAACAAGACCGCCTCCACGCCGGCGTCAAAAATCTCGACAGCAAACCAAGAGACAGAGGCTCCAGTCCCAAGGGTTCCCGCCCCGCCTTCAACATCCGACGGCCCGGCAGCAGATCCCCCTCCCGGGGCGACGCCACAGCCAGTATCTGCTGGTACCACCGCCGCTTCGGTGCTCTGGCACAAAACTGTACTCCGCCCTGCTCCTACCGCCGGCAGGGAAACTGACGCAGCGGACATCATCGGCGGCACATGTCTGCGGTACAACAGGCCGCCTCTTCATAACGGACAGTCAACATGGCAGTAGTGCCTCCAACTCACAGACCCCCCACTGTTCAAGGAAGGAAGCTAGACCTACGAAGCTTGGAACACAAAAGGAAGCGATCGAAAAGCCCGTCTAGAAAAGCTGAGATGGCGCGAATTAGCCGGCTTGAGAAGAACTTCTTAGAATCTCTGGGAAATCAGGTAGCCCGACTGACTGAAGAAAATGCCAGACTTAAACAGATAACATCTACCTTCCCTTGTTCCTTATCACACTTCCGTGTAACGTGTTTCTGGTTACTGAAGACGTATTTGAAATTTGAATTTGAAATCTTAATTGCTCAAAATGAAATGCAATGAACAAGTGTAGTGAGAAATATGCCCATTCCTGTATGTAAGAGTTAGCGTCTTCCCACGCTTACAGCAGAAACAGGAAGACACCGGTCAAAGGTTTATTAGAGGAAAGTTACGTTAAAGAATAGCTAAAGAATTCTTAGTGAATTCAATACCTGGCAGTTTGTGCATGCCATAACTTAAAAAGCGCGAGGTTTTAATGATCCCAAGCGACGCTTAACATTTGTCAATTTCTGACAGAAATATCTTGGAGTCAGATATCCTTAAACCCTTGTAAGCTTCAAACGGAGCGGAGAAATATCTAATTAACATACTCCTATTTTTCAAATATAACCAATCACTAAAATTTAAGGGTGTGACAGGGCAGAGACGCTGAGGAAACAAGGACTTGAAGGTCCGAGTAGAAATCAGTTGTCGAAGTAGGTCACACACCGGGATTCGCAAGAACCAGATGTGAAAAATCACACACCGGGCTCCGCAGAAGGTAGACGTAAAGTTGTCGAAGTCAGCTGTAAAGTGTTAACCACTTAGACTGAAACCAGTAATAATAATAAATTTAAACCTGAAAAATGGTTGCGTTACAAAAGTGTCCCAACAAGTATTCAAATGTAAACTGTTAGACGGTCACCAACAAGTTTTGAATATTAATACCTCTGAATGTGAATGCGCTTTGGTAGCCTGTTTTTTTTCTGCTTCTTTGAGTGTGGCCCGTACCACTTTAGAAACCAACTAACCCTGAGATAAAAATTTAGTACAAGAAGACAACCGTAAGTAGAAACAAGAAGGTAGGTGGGAAGGACTGTGGAAAAGGTGACTTAAAGAAGAACAAGAAAAAGAAGAGTAGGCGAGAAAGAAGGGCAGTTAGACAACGTAGAGGCCGTACGAGAGAACGAGTATACTCCCTCTCCTGATGTCTCGGAAGGAAGAGGACAAGAACTAAAATTCTGTTTTAGGCTTTGTATTTCTAAAGTTATGTTTGGACAATCTCTGTCTGGCTTGTAAGGGCCTTGCACCGACGTGGTGATTTAAACCTGTCGCCCAGCTCGGTGCTATGCACGGCGGCGGTGTAGCGCTGTTTCAGCTCGTATTTTGAACTGTTATTTTTCACGTAAAAAATTCTGATGGTATGAAATTGAAGAGGAAATTTCAAGCTATCATTTCGTATAGTCGTTGTCCCACTTTGAACTTAGAGCGGTATTTTTATTACAGTTGAATTCTTTGAAGAAGTTTTGTAACTCTCCGAGTACAGCGCTCTATTTCCGTCTATATGTTTCCATCTTGGGGAATACTAATGAAGTAAATGAAATGTTGGTTCAAATGAGCAGTCGAGACCTTTCAACGAGACCTTGTTTAGTGCTGCTACTTCATTAGAATTTCGAACCACTAGTAACTGTGCACCACGTGTTTTGATGAGGCGCACTGACATAAAATGCTTACAACCAATCCTTCCTCCAATCCACCAGTGTGACCCTAAAAGACACAACCCGTCCCCTGATACTTGCGGCAATATACCTTCCCCCAAATCAAACTATCCACCAAAAGCAATTAGAAGACTTTTTCCAATCCACTGGACGCAGATTCATAGCTGGAGGCAACTATAACGCCAAACACACCAACTGGGGCTCCCGGATAATATCACCCAGAGGACGTGTCCTCCTCAAAACAATAGAAGACAATCATCTCCACCACCTATCCTCCGGAGAACCCACCCACTGGCCCACTGACAGGAAAAAGCTACCAGACCTCATCGACTTCTGTGTTACTAAGGGCATCCCAACCAACTTTGCTGTCGCAAAATCCTGTCTTGAACTCTCCTCCGATCATTCCCCGGTACTCATCGCTCTTGCTACCCAAGCCATACCACGAGTACCACCTCCCAGAATCTGCAACAGCAAGACAGATTGGGACGCATTTCGTCACCTCCTCAACAAGCTTCCACTAAAGGTCCCACTCAAAACCGACTCTGATATAGAGTCGGCCATCAAGATCTTCAATGACTCTATTCAATGGGCAACACCAGAGAACTCCACCCCTCACCATATCAAGACTTGCCCAATACTGGTCACCCAAAAGCTGCAAAACAAAAGGAGACTCCGGAGGAACTGGCACCTCCTACAGACACCGGAGAGCCAACGTCTATTCAACGACGCCACACAGGAGCTCAAGCAACTCCTCACAGACTATAACAATTTAAGTTTTCACGACTTTTTGCTCGACCTCTCCCCATCGGCATCAACCAACTACTCTCTGTGGAAAGCGGCCAGGAAAGCTAAGCAAATCTCAATTTCCTCCTATCCACTTCGGATTCCATCAGGATCATAGGCCAAGACCTGCAAGGAAAAAGCGGAGGCCTTCGCAAACCATCTAACGGCCGTATTCCAGCCACATCCAACTACAAGCCCACCAGAAGACGAAGAAGCACTCTCTCACGACCTAGAAGAGCCGCATCAACTTGNCCCCCAATCCACTTTCGCAAATCAGAAGTCAATTCCATCATCAAAGGCCTCAAGTCCTCAACCTCCCCAGGATACGACCTTATCACGGGGAAAATGCTAAAAGAACTACCTCCTGTCGGAAAACAATATCTCACCAAAATCCGTAACGCCTCTCTCCTCATAGGATACTTCTCCGCTCAGTGGAAAGTAGCAAAGACGATTCTTCTCTTAAAACCGGGGAAACCCCTTAACGAACTCACCTCCTATCGACTAATTAGCCTATTACCCATCCTATCCAAACTCTATGGGAAACTTCTCCTAAGTCGCCTCCTTCCAATAGTCGAAACAAACAGCTTGCTACCTAACCACCAGTTCTAATTCCGCCTACGGCACTCCACGATTCACCAAACACACCGAATATTACACAAAATCAATGAAGCACTGGAAGCCAAGGAA